CAACAAACTGAGTAGCCTGAAAATCTTAGGAATGCATGAGCTTACTAGTCTGTTGAAGCAATGCATGGTAGCTTCGTACCATCTATGAGAAAACATTCTGAAAGATTGCAGTAGGTGGATCGGTGTTTCAAGGTCGGAGGCCGGAAACGTCACTGTTAGTACGTTAACGTTTACAATCTAGCCCCGACGTCGCGCCGTGCTCTCGGGTCCGCATCTTTCTACTTCAATGTTTCAAGCTCCAAATTTCATGTGTCTCGCTCCTGAGTCCTTCCCCATCTTCCGTTTGCTATCATTCTATGCTTTTTTTTGCCACATACACTGCCGCTGCCTCATCTGTCAGTGCTCGAGGACCACATGGTATGGTTATCCCCTCTGTCCCTTCTCCTCCTTCCTTCTTTCTCCAAGCCGACACGGAAGATCTTAGCAAACAACAATCGCCATCAATCAAGGGCCTCAATCTGTGTTTGGGCCCACGTTCGTAGTGGCGGGTCAGTTTCCCGACCTAGTCCTCACCACTGCAGACCAAGCACGCTACCATGTCCACCATCGCCGCCTCATCCACGCCTCCGCCAACTCATGGGGCGGTCTCCTCGTCACCACCCCTCATCCCGATCACGATACGCTCAGTGTCCCAGAAGACTCGCAGACGACGCACATCGTGCTCCACACCGTGTACGGCCTGCCCTGTCTCCATCTCTCGCCCACGCTCGAGGTCGCTGAGAGCGCACTCTCAGCGTTGATCAAGTACGGCGTGGCGATCTCGAAGCTTGCGATGCCGCACCTCCCCCTCTACCAGCTCATCCTTGCGCACGCGCCATTCCAGCCGCTCGAGACGTATGCGCTCGCGGCGCACTTCGGCCTTGAGCCCGTCGCCGCCGCCGCGTCGTCGCATCTGCTCGCGTACCACCCCTCGAAGCTATCGGACGAGCTCTCAGTCAAGATGGGCCCTCTCTACTTCAAGCGCCTGCTCGACCTCCACGAAACCCGCCGAGCGGCGCTGAAGGCTATCGTCATGCGACCTCCAGCGAGGCATGCAGACACTGAAACTTGTGGGCCGGAGTCGCAGATGCGGCTGACCAGTGCGTGGGCGATGACAGCGGCAGATATGGCGTGGAATGCTCTCCCAAGTGAGTCTCTAGGCTCCTCACTCTACACGTGCACGACTCTCACTCCAAAGTTGCACCACCTCCCGTACTGGGCTCGTAGATACCTCGACACATGCGTTGCAGTCGGCATTTGAGAAGGCGGGAGCGGAATTGTCATGCGTGGCGTGCAAGGAGATGCTTCGGAGGCGGATAGCGGAAGCGACGCAGGAGTGGGCCAGAGTACAGGTGCGTGCTCGGACATACCGGTGGCTATATGATACGCTGACAAGAATGGTGATTGGACATGCAGAGGACCATCTAACTAGTTCCTTCCCATTTCGTTCTGAGGACCGCACACTCGTGTCCTCCTACTATTCAGCAGTGTACTTATACTGGTGGTCTAGGTTGAATCTACTTCTCCCGATGTGCAACTGTACTCCTATATATTTGGGCTGGCCTGGGCGCTGAGGTTCCTCGTGCCGTCTTGATTAAGTAGGCATAGATGTTCCTCTATCTGGTGAGAAGTCATATCACCGAAGTGTGGGTACCTGTGTATGTAGGATCCAGCATGCCCAACCTGAGCACTACCCCACTTGGATTACCCGCTCTCGTACCTTGGAGCGATGACAAGGCCTAGAAGCTCGTCACTGTGCGCAGCACAGTACGTCTAGCAACGTCATAAACACCAGTCGCTTCAACGTTTGCCCGCCCTCCTGCGATCGATTTGCGCATCGTGCAGCGCCAGGGCTTTAGTCAGAATGTCCAGATAGCTACCAAGTATCCAAATCCATGTCTACAAGTACAAGCGCCAGGTACGGTCGCAAGTAAACCTGACAAGTCCCAGTTCGACGTCTGACGCCCCCCGCATTCTCTGTCCATTCGTTGCGTGACAACCAGCTAGCTACGGGCCCGTAGTCAACCCGTCGACCGTCTCGGTCGCGTATTCGTATCGGTCATATGTAACAGTAGTCTTCCAGAGAAGTCCAAGTACCAGGCCCGGAAGCCACGTGGGAAGCCTCGCAAACAAACTTGTCTTCATCGTCAAAGGGTACCTTATCACCTCCTGACGGATGGCACAGTCGTAGCAGCATCCCCGCCCAGTTCCTGGATAAAGTCGAGGAGCTGCTGGCCGTCGGGCACGGGTCCATCCGTGCTCGCAGGGCACGATCCGGGTGGGCTCACGGGCGCGTCTTGGCCGAAGGGGATCGTACCTGGCGCACCTACTGCGAGACCACCGACAAAGGTTCCCTGGAGCGTGCTCTGGAACTGGCATTGGAATAACCCGTCGAGCTCCGCGTTCTTGGGCGCTTCTTGGCAGTATGGAACCGACTCGCTCGTGGGCTGTAAATGGCACGACCGGGCACAAAATCGGAAGATACGGAGGGGACCGGGGTGCGGTGGAGAACCCAGGGGGAGGGGGCAGGACGAGTCAATCAACATACGGAGAAGCACACGAGGAGAGCAGGATCACGACCGGCTGAAGGCGTGTAGTAGCACGTACCGTGTTCCGTGGCTGCTGAGCAAAAATCTGAGCAAGCTTGATCAACTCTCCGTCTGCGTCTGCGTCCGAGGCTTCAATCGTCTTGGCGAGGTCGATCATCGCGTCCGCCGCGTTCTGCTGATCGCAGGGGCTAGCAGCGGCGAGGAGCGTCTTCGATGCGGCTTGGGAGATGGAGTTGCACTGATCACCTCCGCCTGCCTTCGTCTTCGCGCGCCATCAACGTATCCGATGTCATGTCATGTCAGCACGAACGGAATTTGAATAGATAGATGAGTACGCACGCAAGCCTGCAACCACGGTTCGACGACGTCGGTGACGTTCTGGCCGACACGCTTCTCGAGCGGTGCTGCGTGGACGTTCGCTGCCAGTGCGATGGCGGATAGTGCTAGGACAAGAATCTGAGTCGCGGAGAACTTCGGCATTGCGGGCGTTCTAGTAAAGTGCAAATAGTAGAAGCGGAGGAAAAGAACTAGAAGAGATGAGATTCCGCTGCAGAAGACGAAAATTGACCGAAGACCGAAAGAACGAGTCCGAGCACAGCTCGCGGCGAAACCGAAAACCAAGTTGGAGGAGAAGACGAAGAAGAGAATGGGGAATCCGGTTGACGGAGGAGAGGCTATATATGTAGTGGACATCATGTTCGACTTTGCCGCTGAATCGGCGAGGCTGTCCTCCGCGTTGTCTCCGTGGATGTGATCGTCAGCGATGCGTGATGCATCCCTTGGGAACAAACCACACAACTCAGCAGATGAGTGTCTCGAAGACAGGCCGAGGCAGGCCTGGCAGACACTGACAGAGAGGCGAAATGATGTTGATGATGGGACGTACGAGCAGCATTCAATCTAGATCAGTGAGGTGTCAAACTTCGGCGCTAATGAGAACGTTACCCTCCGGGTATGGCAAGCAAGGTCTATGTAGGATGTAGTGGTGTCAGCATCGGTCGCGTACGGCTACAGATGATATAACAAGCGTCGATGGTAATTGTCGTGAGTGTCACATCGCAGAACGGAGTTGGGCGGTTTACCGCTCGTCGTCACTATTGCCAAACACCAATTCCTCTCCGTCATCAGAGAAGTCGTCGTCGTCAAGTAGATCGCGATTGCCATTCGAGTTCGTACCGCCGTAGTGTCGAGGAGAAGTCAAGATGTTGTGTCTGCGAAACATTAATATCGCAAACCGGTACGTTGTATGAACTGCGTACCGCTTCAACAGTTCCTCGATGCCTTGTTTGGCTTCCCAATCGACACGGACCCAAGAGTGTACTAAGTCCCCACCCCGGTAGACCAGCAACGTCGGAAGGACATCAGTGTCGACTTCGTCGTCCTCCCATTGTTCTTCATCGTCTTGGTCTTCGTCATCATCGCCGCCCTTCTCGTCATCAATCTCATCGTCAAAGAACTCGTCCTTCTCCTGTATTGGTGTCCGTCCGACATTTACGAGACCCCGTGTAGGGAAGCGGGAAAGCGTGAGATTTGGCTTCGATGAGCCGGACGAGGCGAAACCAATGGCCCCAGCACGCGCTCGCAAGAATTTGGTGTAGGGGTAGCTCCGCGCCAGCCGTGACAAGGTCTCGTCAACGGTCGCACATCGATCTAGAGACTGCCAGTGCATCAAGTCAGACATACTGCCACTGGCGCGGCAAGTGTGGACGCATTGGGATTGATGGTGACTGGTGCGAAGAGCACATACCGGATCGTAGATGTGCACCACCACCCACACGCTTCGGTCCTCTTCAACAGCCTGTACAAAGCTCCTCACGCCCACCTCCCGTAAATGTCCATAGCGACCGTCCCTGGCCGCCCTTGACGAACTCGTCCCAGACCGTCCCTCGAGCGCCGTAAGCTCCGCCAATCGCTCCCTTTCCTCCTCAGCCCACGTCTTACCGCCCAAGCTCGCCTTCTCCATGGCACGATTTAGCTCGCGTATCTCCTCAGCACGCCTCGTGCGCGCGAGGGACTCGGCCTCGTTGCGATCTCGGATGACGCCTTTCACGCCGGTGCGCCCTGGGCCCATCCCGATGGACTCCTGTTGCTGCTGAGACGCTATGTGGGCCTCCACGGACGCTCTTCTCTCTGCATCCGAGTCGTACTCGAAGTCATCATCCTCTGTAGGCCATGGTGCGGGGCCGGTTGAAGGAGATCTTGAGCGCACTGGCGAGTTTGAGCGAGATGGCGGGCTGAAGAGCCTTCCTGAGAGGACGAGGTCTTCAATATCGCCGTACTAGTTCACAACGCGCGTCAATAACCGTATAGGATGTGTGTAAGATTGCATACCATGGTTGCAGAGATCGGATGATGAGGATACCGAGGAGGTTACAGTAGACTGCAAGGGAAGTATGTCAATAAGTATGTCAATATCCATACATGAATCCTTTAATAAATGTATCTATAACACTGTAGTGTTACTTCCTTGACGGCCCAATGGTCTAGTAGTATGATTCGCGCTTCGGGTTTCTGACTCGCCGCTCAGCGGTATAATTGCGCGAGGTCCCGGGTTCAATTCCCGGTTGGGCCCTTTTACGACACGCACCTAACTCTCGTCTGAAGGCGATTTTCGCACTTTCAGATATACTCTAATTAGGATTCTTGTGTTTTACTTGTTCATGGAGTATTGTTAGGCAGTCTTGACTAATCGTTCGACCGGAGATGAAGATCGTGACGCAAAAATGTGAGCTTGAAAGTCGTGACGCCTCGTTAGTAGTACAGGGAAGACAATTTCTAGAGTCATGTCATGCGCGAATGATTTTCGAGGCGCACGCCCAACCGCTGCGTTCTGTGTTCCTTTCGGTCAACGCCTGAGGCTTTGTACTGATATTCACGGCCTCGACAGATGCCGAAAGGGAAATCGAATCCTGCGTCGGACGCATTCCCGACACTTTGTGTTCGTAACTACCCCTACCAATTCCGCCCTGTGGTCTTCTAAAGTCTTAGGAGAACAACGTACAATTGTTGAAGAGAGACATGAGTCTTGAACATGAAATAACCAACTAGTCAAATCGTCCTCTGCATGGCCGACGGTTACTATTCACGTCGGAGTATCATGGATATGTCCTGAGCACGCACCTGTACTCTGGCCCATTCCTGCGTCGCTTCCGCTATCCGCCTCCGAAGCATCTCTCTGCACGCCACGCATGACAGTTTCGCTCCCGCCTTCTCAAATGCCGACTGCAGCGCATACGTCGAGGTATCTACGACCCCAGTACGGGCGGTGGTACAACTTGGAGTGAGAGTCGTGCACGTGTAGAGTGAGGAGCCTGGAGACTCACTCGGTAGAGCATTCCACGCCATATCTGCCGCTGCCACCGCCCATGCGCGCGTCAGCTGCATCTGCGACTCAGGCCCACAAGTTGCAGTGTCCGCATGCCTCGCTGGAGGCCGCATGACGATAGCCTTCAGTCCCGCGCGGCGGGTTTCGTACAGGTCGAGTAGGCGCTTCAGGTAGACCGGACCCATTTTGACCGAGAGTTCGTCCGACAGCGTGAAGAGGTCGTACGCGAGCAGATGCGACGACGCGGCGGCGGCGACGGGCTCGAGGCCAAAGTGCGCCGCGAGCGCGTACGTATCGAGCGGCCGCAATGGCGCATGCGCGAGGATGAGCTGGTAGAGGGGCAGACACGGCATCGCGAGCTTCGAGATCGCCACGCCGTACTTGATCAATGCTGAGAGTGCGCTCTCAGCGCACTCGAGCGTGGGCGAGAGATGGAGACAGGGCAGGCCGTAGACGGTGTGGAGCACGATGTGCGTCGTCTGCGAGTCTTCTGCGACATTGAGCGTATCGTGATCGGGATGAGGGGTGGTGACGAGGAGACCGCCCCATGAGTTGGCGGAGGCGTGGATGAGGCGGCGGCGGTGGACATGGTAGCGTGCTTGGTCTGCAGTGATGAGGACGAGGTCGGGATACTGGCCTGCCACTACGAACGCGGGTTCGAACGTGGGTTGAGGCCCCAGATGAATGGTTGTTGTCGTTTGCTGAAATATTCCGGGTCAGCCTAGAGAACGAAGTGAAGGCGGCCGGAGGACGGGGAGGATAAGCGTACCATGATTGGGCTCGGGCTCTGGTTGTGGCCCTGGGCGTGCCGGAGAGCGGGCTCAAGATTCATGGCGTTGAGCTGATAATGGGAGAAATTGAAGGCGTCCATATTTATTCACATTTGCCTTGCTTCTCATGACGAAGGAGTCGACAGCCTCTTGCATTGAATGCACGTGCGCCGTGACGATACGCATTCTCTTGACGTAGTCGTCTCGTCTAGCAACCCCTAACGGCTCCAGCCGGATGACGGGCGCGTCTTGCCCCCGCTGGCGGAACCTGAAATTAGGGAGTAGTTTGCATGCACATTAGCGAACTAGCAGGGCGAGGCAGTGCAATGAGTCAGAGTCCCAATTGGCAGTCGCGGTGGTGCTTGAGCACAGATGTGGCAGCCGCAGTGGCACAAGGAGAGACTGATAAAGCTGCGTGTCCTGATCAACGTCGCCGAACCTAGGCGCCCCACGGCTCAAGAAACTCGTACAATCTGAGTACGCATGCCACGGATGGGCTACAGTCTACAGAGCACCACGAAAGATGCGCCAGGGGAATCAGAAGCACTGCCGCACCACCCTGATTCCGGGCTTCCATGCTCATGCTATGATCGCTCGAGAATTTTGAGGTTTTTTGTCGTAAGACCCGATGCTGCACAGGCAGAACAAAGGGAACACTCCCGGCCCTGGCAGGCGAGACACAACGCGTCACCGAAGTTATCAGAGCTGCTGAAGAGTCGCGCTATGATTAGGAAGGTAGTTCAGCCTGATCCCTTGAATGGGGGATGACATACTGACTTGATAATGGCCGGATTAAGTTGCTAAGGAGACAGGACGCCACAGGAGGAGGGCCGAATGCGTCGTCTTCTGCAATGCAGGAGTGAGATGTCAGTACATACCCACAACACCACCACCCGCCGACAAACTCTGATGCTCCACGTCTTCGTGAAGTACCGCAACAGTCCACAGCATGCATGCGGTTAGACTATAACATTATGCTCTTCCTGCCGGCCGGGGAATGAGGTCATTGCAAAGTTCGTAGACCTCGAAGAAGTCCAAAAGTGGATAAACAGGAGACTTACGACTGCAGCTATATTGCCCCCTATCGCGGAGCTTCCGTTTGTATGCCGGTGCAACCGCACCCGACCGCTCTTATCGATGGCGAACCTGACAACTTCGCGCATGCTGAAGACTGGAGATCTAGAATGCCGACGGGAGCAAGGGAGAAATAATGAAGGTCGCATTCAAAATGCCTAGACGACCTCACAAGGCGACGCCTTCGCTTGTGATATGGCCGGAAAACCTCCGATGCAGACAGACGGATGGCGTATTGCATCACTAGTGGCTACTTTGCATATACGGGTTCTAGACTTGGCGAAGAGCGCCGACTGTGAGTCTGTGACCAGCGTTGAGCAATACACTTGGAAGTGGGAGCATGAATGACTCTCTGAGTATGTGTCTTAGTCTGTCCGACACCCGCAAGTATTGTAGTGTGATCACTGACCTTCATGACATGCCTGGTCCGTAAACTCCAATACATGCGTCTGCATCATGATCGTTTAATGGTGTAGCTCGCCTACTTTGGAGCATCAGTTGAGAAATGTAGCATGTCGGTTGGTCCTCCTAAGTAGATGTCATCGAGATTAGCGAGCAGGAAGTAAGATCTGCAATGGATAGACCGTCGCGGTCACCGGGACTGAAGGAATGCTCCTTTGCCAACGTAGGCCGGTGAGACAGTAACCTTGTCTCAGCCGTCGCGACAGCTCGGACTCTCAGGATCTCAAAGAGTAGTTTCTATACATTTCTTTTTCGTAAATCTTGGAGCGCACAGAGTGTTCTGCACTTACTATTCCCCGAGCAGAAGCTGCAGCTCCCCACTTCATTTTTGCGCGCATGCTCATGGTGGGTAGTCTCCTACCAAGACACTCCGCGCATGTGAGGGATTTGGGTCGATCCTATCATGGTGGGTGGATCCACGAAGCTATGAATCAGAGGCCAGAAACGGTGAATCGCACATAGCGCGACTAGTTTGTATAGATTGCCAAATAGCAGTAATCAGACACAGAAAGCTACAATGATAACGATGTCGAGCAACATAAGATGGATGTGCCTAAAGCTGATTAACCGCCTGACCAGTGGAGGAGACGAACAGCCAGCGGTATGCCCAGCCGAAGACTCGCAAGATCGCTCTGCTCGGCCGTTCAACCGCGCCATGAGACGAGGCCCAAGGCAGAGACGTCCCACAGAGCAGAAACGCCAGCTTCAGAGACCGAGGTGACTGTAAAGAAGAAACCGCTTCTCCGTCCACGACGAAAATTTATACGCGCAAGGCACGTGCGCTCGGGGCTCCGATCCGAGGTCCTGATTTGGGGACTGCCACGTGGACAGAGAGACGCGCGGTATATAGAGCGCAAGGAGGAAGTTTTGCATTCTTTCGAAAGTTACACCTCGCGGGCTGATATTTGGGAACCTCTCTCTGTCTCTCTGCTTCGGCTGTGATGCGCTCGGGAGGGCCTTGAACCCTTCGCGAGGGAGAACGAACCCTCCATCTCAAGATCGTACCGACCTCAATATATGTCGGGAGCGGCCCGTATTGGAGTTACATGCTCTTTCTGCAGCGTACGTTGTCTGTAGTTCTCTCAAGTTCTTGCAATACGATGCTTTGCTTCACCCTCCGTGCCTGTGTGTGGCTGAATACAAGACGGGAAGAGGAATGGGTGAGACTAGTTGGTCTACGATCAAGGACTCATGTCTGCGGCAGTCATCTTGAGACCTTGGAATGACGCGTAGAGGAAGGTTTACGCTATGTCTGTCATCATATCATGGGTAAGTCACTCACTGCGATTTGATGTCAAGGTCTTACGACATCAGCATAGAAATCCCCGAACATGACTAGAGCCTTAAACTACCTAGGAAGTAGCAGTGCGATGAGCGAGCGAATGTGCTGGACTCCGAAACACCACGAGAGGTGTGCTGATGGTGGAGAACAACGTTCGCAGCCCTCACCTTGCCTGAATGTACGCTCGTCCTATCCTCTTTCGCGCGACGCCTGCCACATCATCTGATCGTTTCAACCGGTCCACGCAGGAGCCCGGTGTACCACACCAATATTTCTGGTGATTCGCAGCTCGCGCGGCCCCTTCTCGTACCCTGTGCCGCCGTCACATTGATGAGCGGGGCGACATCGCGCGTTGTTCTGCATGAACGTTCTCGCGACTCGGTCCGACCCCTGAGGATGGACAAGATGGATAAGGGTAGTGGGTAAAATAGTGTGACGGATGGCCATAGGACTCGACCTATCAAGATCACACCCCTCGTGCGCGTTGCGAGGTTATAGTGAATGGGAGAAAGTACTGTCACATGTGAGTGGTATGTTGTCAGTGTCACGCCGCGTTATTTCAGAGGGTGACGGCTTTCAGGCAGAGTCATTATCCCCCCGGTCTGTGAGAGATGATCCATCAGCTCGTATACGTCGACTCATCCATGGACCGGATACAT